ATTTGAATCCTATCACGCTTGCTTTTTCGCCCGGTGAAACAATACTCCAGCACGTCTACATCATCTATTAGCAAATCCATATCCCCTACGCTCACACCCAACCTATCCCTCCCCTCCCATCACCGCACTCCCCCCACTACTCCCACTACACTTAGCCTCCCTCCCACCAAAGCAACCCACGCCCTGCCCCCCCTCTCGCACTCCACCCTGGACACCCACCCGAACTACGAAACCCACTCCACTCCGCCATATTCGTTTTCCCGAGCAACACGGCACCCGCGCGCTTCAACGAGCCCAAAACACTGGCCTCGCGACTTGGGCGCGCGCCTACAAGCGCTAGCGAGCCCGCACATGTATCTGTGGCATCGTCGAGCGTGGGGATGTTGTCTTTAAGGAGGATGGGGCTACCGTGGAGGGGGCCCTTTGGACCGTGTTGGAGACGCTCGGTGTCGAGGATGTGGGCGCGGGAGGCGGCGGTGGGGGAGAGTTGGATGATGGAACCAATGTTGGATTGACTTGGTGGGTGCGGTAGGTGTATGCTGTTACTAGGTCTGCGGATGTGAAGGTTTTGTTGGCGAGGGCGGCTATGATTTCTGTGAGGGCGATGGCGCGGAGGGGGAAAGGGGGCTTTTGAAGCTGGGTGTCGTGCGCGAGCTGGGTTGGCTGGGTCCTTTGCGGTGTATGTTGTCTCATTTCTGGCGTAAGTTGGGCGATTCTTTCTTGAGAATGGAGTTGCTAGCATTCTGGTGGCGGGCTTTATTTGGATGCGTATGTCACGGTATTCATGGCTTCACAGGACTGTTGTTGTGCTGTGATGGGTCGTTTTGCTTTTGAGTGGTATTGACTACTGATGGTTTGATCTAGAGATGTGGCGATTGTTGGGGGTTTACTGTGTTGCTGATAGTGTGAAGTCATCTTGAAAGCAATGTCTGTTCCTAACCTACCGTGAAGTATACGATAGATCTGGACATTCTGCAGTAGAGAAATGCCCTCTCATTGTTGAGCCCATCGCATCACTTGATAAGACGTTTTGGCGTATGTCGACAAGCCCAAGTCTTGACCAACGGTCCTGGGGATCTTGCCATACAGTCTTAACGGAGCCTCGAACCCAGAATATTTTGATGCTGAGTTTCCAACTTTTGCATAAAGATCACATGCGCCACAAGTAAACCTGTCAGGTGATGTTGGGCGAGTTTGACATGGCGAAGTGGTCCTGGCATTTGTGGCATCGACACAGTAATTTGCGCTTTCGTCCGCATCCCAAACAGGCACTAGCTTTCCAGTCTTGCTTACTCACGATGTCTAAGCCAGACTGGCCGCGCAAACTATTCGCTTTGCGTCTGTTTCCCTCCAGGTTAAAGGGGCCAAGAAAGGAGCGAGACTAGCACTGCCGCCAGCATCCGGAATGAACCTTAAGACCAAGTGAGCAACAATGCGAAAGGTGGGGGGCTTTCGAACAGTTGTGTTGACAGAGAAGTCTCTATCCAACGAGTCTCTTTGTGAACTTGGATTAGATGCAGAACTGTGCGGACGGTGAAGTTGTGCCTGAAGGACAGTCCCGAATTAATGACATTCGCGGCACACCGGAGTTGGTTCCGACTCAGGCGCCAGAAGGACGTGCACGAACGGTTCGGCCGCTAAGAAGCACAGACAAGCACTCCAACTCTATGCCCCCTGGGGTTGGATTATGCACATAGGATGAGGCAGAAACTGGATCTAGCGGGGTGCCTGTAGTCCTGTTGTTCTGGGGGACGAGTGGTAAACCCTGAGGTTAGATAGCCTCTGAAATCGATATGGCGGTGGGCACGACTACCCAGCCAGACGTTGAACTTGACCTACAGAGTTAATTGACTAATAGAGGAAAAATGTGACGATTACTGAAAATTGAATTCCTTCGTGATATATGGTATCCAAGCCAAACATTACTTCTTAATCAATGGCAATGGAGTGGCGCTGTGGCAGCGGCAGGCAGAACGCATACCAGTACAATGTGGATATCGCGCGATATCGACCCTTCAGCCTGGGCGTATACACAGTATATCCAAGACGTAGCAGACCGCCTTAATGCCATATGCTCAACTCCAGTGTAGATGCAATGCCAGGTGCATGATTCGATTTTGCATGGAAACGCCGTGGGACTTCGTGAAATGCGTAAAGAGCGTAAAGGGTGATGTCAGAACGAGGCTCATTGCTGTGCTGCTTCTCGTTCCTTGGCCATCCTGGTGTCGCGGGTGGTTCGTCTTAAACGTGCTTGGACGCTGAACATGGCCAAAACAATCAATGCGTTGATAATCAAGATGATTTGAAACCACTTTACAACGAGCTATACGAACGTCAGCCTATCTCCACTATTAGGAAAATGAGATATATTCCAACTCACAGCTTCGTTGCAGGCCACCTCCGCATTCGAGCGATCGCTTCCACGAAGGTACTGAGGCTGGAGGTTGCAGGCAGCTGCTTCTCTTGTGCAATACATGTTGGTGTTCATTTTGCCTCCCATCATGAGTCTTTCGGGGGTGCAGCCATATTGGTTGTCGCCCCGCTCTGTATAGTGTAGAACGATGGACGCGAGTGCTGAACAAGCCCCAGCAACCGATGTGACAATGACCCCGATGACATAGAAACGGCGTTTACCCTTGACAACGTTAGCCAGCTGTCCAAGGTCCTACGAGCAAAGAGACGTACCGCAGCGAGCTGAGAGTCCATGCCCGGCTTTCGCAGGATACTCCAAGCAATGAGCGAAATCACAGCGGCGGCCAAGTTAAGACATCCAGAGACGATAGTGGCATCGGCATCGGCAGTTGTAAAGTAAACGATGGTGTCGTCGGTAACATATTGCTGTGTCCGCTGGCTGAATTCGTTTGTGGTCACGGTAATGCCTCGAGGGACAATCCAATCGCCAATGATCCAGTAATGTGTTGTCAACGCCACCGAAACCAACGAGAGTAGTAAGAAGACTATCGTAGGCACCAGCGTCAACCGGAGAATCCGTCCGTACTCCATCATGTTTGACAGTGAGCCAGTCGCACTGCAGAAGGCGTGCGTCGCAATCGATACCAGAGTTCCAAGAAGCAGGAAAGCAGCAGGGCCAAGGGCCTCACCTACCTAATAAAGACGACGACGCCTTCTAGCCGTTAACCTGCTTCCAGCCCATGGCTTCTGCGTCGACGGATGGAGACCAGAGCCGGCCTTGGCATGGCCCTGATGACCCGCTCCTTGCCCTGCTCCGATGTGCCAGACTCCCAGGTCAGCGATGCGCTATGCTTCATTCTTGTTAGTCCAACTGCTTTCCAGCAAATGGATACGACGGCTGCATCCTGAGGCTGAGGCGTTTCGCGCCGCTTGCGAGTTGGATCCATCACTGACTGTCTTGTACACCGTCTTTAGCGCCCCAGCCACAGCCAGGTATCGCCGGCCGGATGCCTGCGCGAGCCAACCCATCCTTGACACAACAAAGAGCAACGGCCCATCTATGTACTCCTAGGTACCTCTGCCTTTCATAGTGGTGTGGTTGCTGGCAGATGACGATGCGGCGTTCTCCTATCACTGGTTGTGTTTCCGCTTTCACCGTGAAGAGACCTGGTTTCTGGGGGGAAAGTAACACGTCATGAGACCCCGCGCCCAAATCGTGGCGCACTAGATATTGCCAAGCCTCGAGCATCGCCTCGGCACATTGCCGCAATCCGACAGCACGACAAAACTCCATCCGGCGCGTATATGGAGATGCGCATATACAACATCTACCTACAAACCTGCTACGTACACAAAACCCACGAGCTATCCTGCTGCAGGTACACGGAAACGCGGCCCAAACAACAGTGACCAGAGCGGTAAGTGTCACAAAGCTCGGGCGTGCCTGGTGTGGCGGATGAACCCGTCTCAATCTATTCTTGGCACGGTACATTCCTCGTGACTGGAACATCAGCCATGACCGCTCTCGGCCCTTCGTACAGGATATGAAAACGATCAATCCGCTTCCAGGAACACGCTCATTTGCTTGCTGACAAGACGCTTTTGCTATGACGCTTTCGTGCGCGGAACACCTTGATCACGACAGCTGACAGAGCATGGGCGATGGGAAAGAGACGCAGTCCACTTTTTAAACATTTGTGAATTACAAGACCACGCCGCGATACTCCACGCGAGGACCCTTTCCTGATTCATGCCAATCGTTGGACATCAAAGGCCAATTTTTCGAACATGCCGCAGGACGCAGCCTGGTCAATACCAATTTGGCATCCTCCTAAAAACAAAATTGGGATAGAAGGAACGCATGCGCCGCATTTCTGGCTCTTAAAATAGGTGATCGCAACCACCACTGAATCCGCAATCTCTTCTCCACTACCAACAGGCGGATATCTTCTCTTTCACCCAGGCATACTGGTCTTCGGTTGGCACAGGTTCTGCGGATTGGCCATGCTCCACCCTGATTTTCATCGCGCAGATTGCCAGCATCATGATCCACCATCCCCTTTTCCATTCTCGAGAACAACCTAGTCATGGCACATATACAGCAGCTAAATTCTGGAATCGACGCTTCTAGCCTTAGTCGCGGCTTTTTGACGGCCGCATCAATCTCGCTCGAAGCGCCGTCGATCCTCGTCAAAGACCAGGATACCAGGCTGCGATCGACAAAGCAACGATATACCCGAGCAAAGTGCGGTACCGTGAATATCTATAAGATGGAAGTTCTGTTCCGCTATGCGTTCTGGTATCTAGAAGAAGCCAGTGAGGGAACCAGTCCTGTGTCTTCGGTTTTCGAATGAACAACTTCAGCCATCCAAGTTCACATCATCAGCAAAATGACCATAGTCAGACGCTATATACATTTTGGAGGCCGTCAATGCGGCACTGCGCCACAGCTGACAGCGGGAGATCTTCTAACCATTTTTGTAGCAGTGGTAACACCGCCTGTAGTTCACGAGATCATTCAAGGCTGGCGAGGTTATATAAGTATCCGCTGGAATTGATCCACCACCGACCAACTTCAGCAGTGATCAGCAGTCATGGTAATCATCTTGAAAGTTGAAATGTTGCACCATGGGAATTCCCTAGTCGCTTACATATCGCCTATTCAATTGCACCAAACTTCCAACTTCCACAATGCAGCACGTGTTCTGGGCTCTCCAAGCTAGATACTTTCATGTCCCGAGCAATAGCTTCCTTACCGCTCAGGCTTTCACCGGATACCTCGTCGGAGATCAGATGATCGCTGTTCATGCTCTAATCCAGTCCAAGATTCTCTTCAATCAGAGCCAATCGCACACGTGGGTTTCGTTGGAGACATGGGATAGCCGCCCAGGAAGCGCCCTCGGTACATAACGTACATGGCATACAATGACATGTTTCACATCTGGTCCATCGAGCTGTGCCGCAAAACTACGCCACACCTGATGTACCTAAGGTAAGCCTCTAAGTCCTACCGATGCGTCGGGACGATGTGGAGTCTGACGCCAGCACACCTATTAAACATAAATCCAATCTTCGTTCTGATGCCAAACGGAGATTTATTCCAGAGACCTCATGGAGTCGGCGTTCCCTTTTGATGATTTTTGCTACGATTTGATGTTCTTCATGGTCTCGCTACTGGATTGATGGTAGATCTTAAAGAGCTTCTTGAGGGTTGAGTAAATGGGAATAAGAATGTTTATGGCGTTGACAGAAGCGTTAGCATTTGGGGTGAACGTGAAAAATGACTGCGCGGGGCTGGTGCCAATGGAAAGTCAAACTGAACACGTGACTTTTGTTTGACAGTGAGGCTATGCTTTCCTTGGAGGCTGGGATTCATCAGGTAGGGTGCTTCATCTGCGGGGATTTCTTCATGTGTTCAATTACTATATGTCTAGTTGGTAGAGTGCTTGTATGTCTCATGCTACTCACAATATCTAAACCCACAGATCGTAGGACCTTGTATGTCACTTGGGTTGTGAGCATAGATCTCTGTTCCGACATCAAGCATACAAAGCAGTTCCAGCCGACACAAAATCAGAGCTCCATCATGGATGAAGATCATCACTTGGAGATCACTCGGTGGCTAAGCAGGTTACATACACGACAACCTCCTAGTAGTTTCGAGGTATATTTCGCAGCACAAGAGTACGTGGGTCACCATTAGCGAATTGAAGACATCCTTGCATAAACCCCAACAGCGTACAATAAAGACATGATGCTAGACCCATCCCAACGCCTTTGCTGAGCTATCTTGGAATATTGTCATCATTCGTAAAACGTATCCTCCCAAAAGATCCGATCCTGAACTAACGCTAGCCAGCTTGCCCATCACATCGGGACTGGGATACCGCATCATGCACCTGGTTCCTGCACGTAAGACGACCACATTCTGATACTTGCCCCGCGTTCTTGCTGGCCTCCTCACTCGTCAAACATACCTTGAACTACACCCTCTCATGTCGTATGTACTCAATCAACGCATACGCGCCACTTGCAACTACCGCCCCAAGAAGCGGGCCAAGCCAGTAAATCCAATGATATCCAGTAAAGCCAATGACTACGGCTGGTCCAAAGCTCCTTGCAGGATTCAAGCTAGCACCCGTGAAATACACACTGCAAATGTGCGCGATGAATAGCGAAAAACCAATGTACATGGGCTTCGACGGTCCGGCCTTCAGCATCAGGATGGTCAAGACCAACTGAGATGTGACAAATGCCTCGAGGAAGAGGCCACGTGTGACGCTCATGGAGGGCGCCAGAGTGGTTGCAATATTCAGTGGGCCCGGTAGTAGAGCCTCGACGAAGCCAGCGGCTGCCATACCAGCGATGAGCTGGGCGAGGATAGTCTGGGCTGCGCGATGCCAGTGGATCTGACCAGTGATGAATAGAGCCGTGGTTACCTGAAGCAGATGATCAGCCACCGTAACACACAGCGTTTTCTCGAACCATGCATTGGCTCCATCAAATATCGCAGTCCCGTGTGATGCAGCGGGGAAACATGTGGCTACACAAAAGAGCTGACAGAACTCACAGCCGGATTGAACTTTCCGCCGCTAACATCGGCAAAGATTGCAACGTTGATGGCAAGCGAGACACCAAATGCAAAGGAGATGTAGAGCAGCTTCCCGACATCGGGAGCAGGGATGTCACTCGGTTTCAATTGAGCATTGCTGGTCGCATTTAGGGCGATTTGCGTGCCGGAGAAGGCGAGAGAGAGGAACATGAAAGTGCCTATGAACTCTCCAAAGAAGGCAGCCAATTCCGTTCTTAGCGTGTGATGTGGTCGAACGGTCTCGCGTGGCTGTGTAGTCGTAGGCTCGCGAAAGGGAAGACCGAGCTCAGGCTCCTTCGCGTGGTCACCTTTCTCGGACATTTTGAGGAATTGCTATAGGAGAATGAGGGATGGAGTCGAAGTAGAGAGTCTTGACTCGAGATGAGATTGACTGGATGCTGAGATGATGATGGATTGTACGCATACTTTGTGAAGGTAATATACCCCGTTTCACGTGGTAAATTATGGTGTAGTATTGACGTCTGCAGTCTCTTGCTGTGCAACGCAACGTGAAGATCGTCAACTGAGCGCCTGGCAGATGTCTTTCCGACCGTTGTGATTGGGAAACGAGGGAGAAGACCAATCAATCCCTTATTGGAAGCAGGCTAGCTATTGTGCCTGCAATACACACGTATCCTGCGTTTCTGAGAGCTTGCACGATCAGCTGGATGTGCTGTGATCGCAGAAGCCAAGCCTTGAGGAATGATAAGTGTGGGAGGACAGATCACGTTGGAGAGTGTCCGCAAATCGGCGTTGGAAGCCTACCTCTTCATCGCGATCTTGATCATACGTGACAGGGACCCATGTCCCTGGTTGAAGCGCCATGTTGCCTATAGAACCTGCTAACTCCAGGTGCGGACGTGTGAACGTTGGTACCATCCTTGGAGGATTGAGGCTGTTTATTGAGATAGTCTTCCATCAGAAAGAAGCTCCTGAGTATGGCTGTTCGCCTTGCGGGAAAGGTTTTAGGCGATCATGTCAGGGTGGGAAAAGGTAGCAGCAGTATGGTTTCACACATGTGGTTTTCGGGAAAAGAGACTTACAAACAGGAGATGTAGTTCCCCTCAGGTTGCATGAAGTCTTTGGACGTGATACGCTGAACGGGTGTGACCGAGGATTTGCGTTTAAGCTATCCTGGCCAGCAAAACGCTCCCTGCATTGGCCACATCGCTGAACATGCGTGGTCGGTTGTGAACCGACAACCCGGGAAGTTCAAGCTAGAGTGTAGTTAGGATTTTTAAGCGGTTTCCCGGAATCTTTCTTTTTGAACCACGAATACTTCACACCTTTGTTGCTTGAACGGGCCTCACGAACCCAGGATCGTTTATCGTCTCAAGATCGCTGCCTCATGTTACGATAACAAAGACTTCCACTTGGATTTCAGTCTTTGGGCCAGGTTCGTAGGTCATTGGCATCGAAGGCAGTCAGCAAAGCACTAGCTCCGCGGCTCGAAAACAACCAGGGAACAGTGGGAGAACGAGCAATGGCACACAATGCAAGGATCGAAACGAGGGTATTCGTACGTTGCTTTGCGTCTAGCAGATGCGTGATACCGGTTGACAGGATCGATACAACATCCTTGGTAACATCGTGGCACCCTAGTACGCTCGCTCAGCCTGAGTGAATGCAATGATACGCATGTCGAGGTATATCTCACCGATGCTCTGCTGACATTTATTGCGTTAAAATATCGTTACTTCAATCTTCGTTTGTAATGCGGAAAGATGCGAGATTTAGGCATGGTGACGGATGATTGAAAACGCGGTTAGGAGAGCTGTGGAGAGAGCGTTACACAGCCGCGGGGGAGGAGCCCCGCAAGGCGAAGGGCATGGCTCCGCTGGATGTGAATCGATCAAAAGTGAAAATCACAAGGACATTCAAGTTAAGTGTCAAAAGCGATGGTGTGCAGTAACATGCTCCGAAAAGCGAGAGGTTGGGTAGAGGCACGTTGGGTTGCAGGCGCCCAACGAGGGAGCTTGGGACACGACTGTACAAGTCTTCGCTAGTAAGGAACTCCGCATTCTACTTCCATGGTGTCACTAAGTGTCTCAGTGAAGATCGGATGGATGTATGCTTCCGAAGTCTGCACGTCTGGATAGTTTCCCCTTGGAATATCTTGCTGAGTTAGCACAGCTCAGCTTAGTCACCACGTAGTGCAAATCGCCCTTCCATGAACCCGACCTGACAAGCACTTGTATATAGCATTGTTTCCATATTTCCTGTGTCTCACTGTGAGCAAAATGTGTATACTTTCCGACCTGGAGAGAGCATCGTCACTGCGTGTGCCCACACAATCACAATTCTGCCCGCGTATGACTGAATATGCAGGACCTTCTTTATAAACAGTGGCATCACATTCATCAGAGTCATGCTATTCTAAAGTACGTTTGATGGCCCAATTTCAGATTTGGTAGCATTCAAGTTTTAGCGTCTCAAGCCTGGTAATAATATATAACTAGGTTTCAACCACAACTCAGGTGGAAGAAGAGACACAGTGTTTTCATTATTTGCATTTAATGTTGAAGAGATTACATCAATTAAGATGAGTATACAGTCGCCGTAATCGGAGTACCAACAAACTCACCCAGGCTCTTGAGCAATACACAGTATCGCAATTCGAAGCATGTTCCCGGGTACGCCATGGAAACATGAGATTTTAAGTACTTACCAGTTACCCGCTGATGCTTCCTCTAGCCTACGAACTATTGTAAATTTAGTCACCAGAAAAGTACTAAATTTGATACCTTCAATCAGACTCTCAGCAACCGCTCGCGCTTTCCTACCTTCATGACGAGTAATTTAATAGAATTTCAGCTAAATGAAAGATTGGGAAACGAAATGTCAACACGCGATCGATCAGTGCAGCGTCTTCTCTTTACGAGATAGCGGAGCGAATTTCGGGTCGGCCCCAAATAGGAGAATTCTCAGCCTACGCCGCTCACGTATATCTATACGACCCCTCGACGAATCAGAATTACTCAAATCGCCATACGAACAGCCTGCCACAAACTGAGGATACTCAAAAGCTCGCCAAAGTCAAGCCAAATAATTATCAGAAAACCATGATCCCATGTGTCTCATATCGTTGTGGATTCGCTATGACACTATATTCATTCCCATTAGCAAGCAAATATTTGTTTCTCTATAATTAGTCTCCCAGCACTCGTTGGCCTCGTTGCCGGGCAGAACCCACGAGTTCTCTTGAATTCTCACTCACACCTCACTGACTAGCTCATCCAGCGTTCCGATCAGACCACTCCTCCATCGTCAGTACTGCCTCCTTTGCTATCTCACCACGCATATCCTCCACAGCTGGCGCCGCATCTTCAGCGTTATCCCGCGTCTCATCAGTGACCGCCTCATCCTCATCGAACGCTGAATTGGCCTCATCGATTATAATGTCAGCCTCATAGCTTGCTTCATCTATTGCTAGTAACACTTCCACTGCTGTGTGATCTACTACTAGCCATATCTCCGTTATTGCTTCATCTACTGCGCACTTCGGCGGCAGCCACGTTTCATCTGCCACTGGAACTGCCGCTTCTGCTTCTCGCTCAACGAGTGTTTTGCATTCTGCATCTGCTACTTCCACTGGTGAAGCTGGCGCTCTCAGTACTGAAGGGTTCAATTGTATGTTATATGCATGGCTGTGATTGCTGCTAGTCTGCTCTGAGGTAATGAGGCATGTGTGATGAATTGGTGGATATAAATGGAAATATCCTACCTCAATACAAAAAGCAAATTGATATCATTCCTTGATTGAAAGTGATGTCAAGATTCATTCTTCTCGGTAGTCATCGATAGTAGAAAAGATTTCCCAGGAAACCTTGCTAAAGCGGAAGAGAGTAATTAAATGAGCAGTCTGGCCTCCTGTTTCATGTGTATTCGCTCCAGTCACAGCTTTGCGCGTCGTCGTGCTCCGCAAACTCAGCTCATGAGTCAGCATAGAGCCAGTGGCTCATTCGTACCAGGCCAAAACACTCTCGAAATCCGTGTAAAAAGGGTGCACAGTGAGATAGGGTGATCAAGACATTGCATCAAAGTTGACCACTGCCTATGTTTTAGGGGGATTAGGAAGAAATAAATAGAAACTTTCATTTCAAGGTTTCATATCTCCCAATTCATCTTAGGTTGACTTCTTACTTCCGTGGTAAATCCTTGCGCCCTCGATTCTTCATTACATGGATCGAATCCGACTGTGTAATCTTTACTCGTATTGCCAGGACCATGCCCCTCGTCTGTCAAACGATGGATGCTTGTCCCACTGCTTTTCACACTGCCGTCGGCGGTCCTCCTATGTTCTAGTTCATATGCCAAACCGTAGTTGTCCTGCACGCGTTCTTCCACGATCTGGACATCGACGCGGACAAAAATAGCCGAAAATGACTTCTCGACCAGGGGCCAGAATATAGGCATGGACGCACATATGATAGCGAGATCGATTTCGATGCATGTGAGGATGATCATGGTGGGTGACCACCAGGTGAAGTCGAGGTATGGCGAGGTTCCAGCGCGCGTTTGGATGATACCCGTTAGACGCCAGATAGAAGTTGCAACAACACTGTGACCAGTCAGTACGTGCTGGTGTGCGCAGTTTGAGCATAGTATGTGAACTTACATGCCACCGAAAGTGAACACTCCTGCCATTGCTAGTGCGTTCTTCAGGCGCAGGTTGGGTGTGCCGAAAAGCACCATCGGCGCAACGAAGATGGCAATGTCGAATACCATGTTCAGAGTCGAGTGTGCTATGAAGGTATTGACGAAACTTGTAACATCCCTAAAGCCAAAACCGTAGCGCGTCCCAACTACTGTTGCGTCCCAGGCTCCACGTACTGGGAACGCAGGGAACCAGGCTATAAACATGAATCCAGCGCCCCAAGCACTGACTAGTCCAAGGAGGACTATACAAATCCATCGCATATAGCCTGCTTTGAATATGCGTAGATACTGGAGAAGGAGCGAGATCTTGATTAATGTAGTCTCTGTGACGTACATGCCGTTTTCGATGTAAAAAGTCTAGGCCAGTCAGACAAAAGTTCCTGCCATCAGTGTCACAGAACTGACCAACAGATACCGTTCGATATTGTCGAATCCAAGATAGAGCATGTGCTTTCCAAGGCCCGCTTCAACCGCTGCAATGATGAGGTCATGTTGTAATCAGAGGTAGTGTTGACTTACACAGACACACACAAACAGTGGCAACAGTGTTACAAAGCTAAAGAAGAGGATCAGCATTACTCAAAGTTTATGAGAAGACGGACTACTAACCGCAGCGCCAACTACGAAAGCATCATCAAGACCAGGTTCTCTGACGACCTTGAATCGAACCCACAGTCGGAAGAACACGGCCATCCATGATACAGTCTGTGGTTGCTGTTAGCATTCACTGTTATAGAGCAGGTATGGGACGCGAGCATACCAGGAACGTAAGCGTAGTGCCATATATGGTTTCCTTACGATTCGAAAGAGGCTGTGGATCATTCGGATCTGGTGGATGGCTCAGTGCTGCTATGAACAAGTCCTGGTAAGTAGACATATTGATAGACGTTTTGTCGTAATATGCGCGGTTGGTATTGTCGCTTCAAATGAAGAACCAGATGCGTCCTGGAGGTCCTGCCTGAGCCTCTCAGCAGCCTCCTCGGAAGTCAGGTCTTAACCAGCGCCAATTTCTTTGAGCATTTGACTTCACGACTCGTGAATTCATGCCAAGTTTATAGGCTCTGCCGTTGTAGCAGGGATACGTTTTTCTAAGTCCTGATGGAAGTTTGCGCTAAATTGATAAGCGATGCAGTCTGACGGCCGTTCGTCCCGTTTTACAGTTTACAGAGTGTGACTTGACACAAGGGGTGTTGAAGGAATACATTCGAGATCTATTACTAAATCCTGCAGGATCTGCCCCACGATCTTTTGACGATCTCACTCTATAAATCCATCTCGCAGCAGCAGATGAGATATCTCGCTCTCGACCAGCTTCATGAAGGCAAATTTTCTTATTGCTCGGGCTCGCATGAGAACTCCAATAGGACAGGCGATATGGCCATACCAGCTGGTATACGTGGCTATTGAAGCGGTGAAATGTGATTATGTCTGTGCCGCAATCTTGGAGCCGGAAGACTTTCGAATGCCTCTGTCGGCGCCAATAACAAATGACCAATGTGCTTAATATATCGCCATAAGCAGCATCTAAGATCGGTCGTGGTTCATTAGCCTTGCCAACAGACAGGGTTGAAGGATTGCGTCCAGTGGGGGCCGCTACATCCCATCTGCAACGGACGGTGACGGGATGCTAGAATGAGCAATGCGCTATTCGCCAGTTGCGTACCCTTGCATAAAACTTTAGTCCATGATATCATGAGTGCTCTATCAATACGGAGCAGCAGATTGGGTATTGATCGCCAGGCACTCGGTACAGGTTGAGATAGCCATCCAATCACGGTATCATCGATGTCGCCTCGTGTGTATAAGGATAAGATGTTACGATCTCCAAGTCGGCCGTACTAGCGAAAGTATACGTAAACAGCTCGCCCAAAGCTTGCTCGATTGATTCATAAACTAAACACTAGCTAGTACGATGATGTTGACTTGACTGAGATCACTCGCGCCTCGCACCTATCGGAAGGGTTGGCGGGCTGCCCAGTGTAACAGGCCGTACTCAAGCTTGTCACATGCAGTTACATGGACCGATTTTTGCTCGTAGAATTCTCTGCCTACGCCTTACCTGCCGCAGTGCTCTGCTGAATTCTGAACTTTGGCAACGCATTGGTCGGGGTGCAAGTCACAGTCTGCATGAGATGGCAGGATATGCGAAATGTGATCGGTGAGCTGCGACTAGTCGACCCCAAGGTAATGTAATGTCGGCAGAACGTCGCCGAGCAAGTGCAACCTTTTCGTGACATTGAAAAGGCGCCGTATGTACGGATATCGATACTCGCGCCCGTACGCCAGCGAAAGGTCCGGCGCGTACCGCAAGTAGCAGATACGTGCACTATCGGATCTGCCTCTCGACTGTGGCTTGTATTAGTGTGTGGTAGTGTTCGAGACGAAGACAACCGTAGTGCGGCCTCTGAGTTTACCATGTGAATCGGCTGCGAGATCTTGCTATAAGGTTCATGTGACATTCTGGGAACAGACCAATCTCGGGATTATGAAAAGCGTGAAGCACGCGTCCCCGATAGCAGTAAGTATAGTTCGGATTGTGTGCATAGTCGTGCCGTTGCCTGGTAATAGCTTGTAAACTAAATCAAGATGAAACATTTCCTAGGATCTTACCAACCCTTTCTCCACAGAGAACGCCGAGGGGGTCACCCTTGAGAAACGCGACATGGCCGAGATAGGCACGTGTCCGTGAGAGATGGCCAGCAATCTGGATCTAACGGCATTTTCTCCACAGTACATATGCATTGTAGCGCCGGCGCTGGCTGAGGAGCTCAAGCAGTCTCCACTAAATGCCTGATGTCTCTTAGTACGTGTATCCACATAGAAGATTCTTTCATGGGCCCAAGGGCGCAGTTCGACCGATCATGGATCAACATCGGCTGACTTGGGACAAGGTACCAACTTCTGGGTTACTATGATACCGGTACATGCATGGCTCGCTCATCCTTACATACAGAATGTATATCACATACAGAATGTATGTCAGAAGGCATCGACATCCTTTAGTCTGGGACCTAAGTAGCCAGATATTTTCCGTCGCGGGAACTCCGCAAGATACCAGTACACTAAGCTTGTCCCGATACAGCATATGAAATGAAAACAAATCTGGTCATTGTCCTAATTTCGCATCCCTCAATCCATAATGAAAGCTGAAGCATGGCCCGGGGGCATAACTGAGTCGTGAGGATAGTCTTGGTAGGAAGATACGACCCGAGCGGAGATTGATGGTGAAGATTCAGTATCGGAGAGGACGAGGCAAGATATGGCCCGTGCGCCCCTTCACGCCAGCACGTGACTAGGCGTTCTTCTCTGCGCTCCATGTGGAACTTCTGGTGAACACCCCGCATCTCGACAACAATGATACTTTGCACTCGAAAACCAGTGCAGAGGCAAGTGAGAAAGTGCACGGCTATCCAGCCTACTTGTCAAATCCATCTACTGGGAAGTAGTGAACATTACCGAATATTACCGTACCGGCACTCTAAGAGCTCAGCCTCGAGCGGGGGGGTGCAGGAACCGAGGCTCGCCAGCCAACTAATGACTACAACATGTCAAGAACGGCCAAGTAGATGCCATGTAATCCATTCTAATATAATAGGATATTTCTCTGCCTCTGCAGGAAGTCTCTGAAAACACTATTTCAAATGGCCAACAAGATGACTGAGCCTTATGGAAGCTCGTTGCCATGGGCAGAGCCAGCATGGTAATTCCAAGTCTCGTACAGTACCTGCTTCATAGATGGCTTGCTGACTTCGATACTAGGTACACTGGACGACCATCAGCGTACTACAAGGACAGCCACCGCAGACTTCGTGATGCTGTTCGCACATGGTGTGAAGAAGTATGCCAGCGCAATACACCCAACCATAGCTTGTGCCAGCAATGCTACAAAGTTACGTTACAGTACGCGTACAGTACACTAACTCAATATGTTAGAATATAGCTCCTCACACTCAAGACTGGCTCGATGCTGGCGCCGTCGATCCGGCCATCTACAACAAGTGCGCTTCAGCCGGCCTGCTTGTCCCCATCGCTTTTGGCAAATCCATTCCCTCACAATGGTCTTCCTACCCCATCATTGGTGATATCCCCGCGACGGAATGGGATGGCTTCCACGACTTCATACTCTGGGACGAACTTATTCGATCTGGAGGCCTTGCTTCGCTCTTCATAGGTCTCGTCGTCGGCGCACCGCCGCTGCTAAAGTTTGCTTCGCAACAACTACAAGACAAAATCTTCCCTGAGATCTTGTCAGGCGAGAAGCGAATCTGTCTCGCAGTCACCGAGCCAGACGCTGGAAGCGACGTGCGCAATATCAAGACTACTGCCGAGAAAACACCAGACGGTAAACACTACATCATCAATGGTGAAAAGAAGTGGATCACAAATGGCATGTTCAGCGACTACTTCATGACTGCTGTACGAACGGGGCCTCCCAATTCCGGCGCTGCCGGTATTTCTATGATCCTCATCCCGCGCGCTGAGGGCCTACGTACACGCAAACTCGACGTCATTGCTGGCCCACTGTCAGCTACTACCTATGTGACATTCGAAGATGTCAAGGTACCCGCTGAATACCTGATTGGCAAAGAGGGGGAAGGATTCAAACAGACAATGGTCAACTTCAACCACGAGCGTCTCTGGATCGCGTTCCAAGCCATTCGTGGCTGTCGAATCGCGATACAAGATGCCTTTGCATGGGCCATCAAGCGCGAAGCCTTCGACAAGACACTCATCGAACAACCCGTTGTACGCAACAAATTTGGAAACATGGGTCGCATGATTGAGTCGCTCCAATCGTGGACAGAGCAGATCATTTACGAACTCGAGAACCTTTCCGATGCGGATGGTGCGCGGTTGCTTGGTGGCACAACGGCGCTTTTGAAGGTTGAGAGTGGCATTGTGTGCAAGTATGTTGCGGAAGAATGCCTGAAGATCATGGGTGGATTGGGTCTCACAAAGACGGGACAAGGTGCGAGGATCGAGAGTTTCTACCGCGCTGTACCGTCCTTTGTCGTGCCGGGTGGTTCGGAGGACGTCCTGATCGACTTGGGTGTACGAGAAGCGCTGAAGTTGCATAAGCAGGCTGAGAAGGCTAAGAAGGCGAAGTTGTAATACAATGTGAACTCTGCGTTGTTGCCATGGAGGACATGTGTTTGGAAGTCGAAGCGTTTGATCGCACCTAGAACCCAAGCTTGGAATATAAATACTCTTCAACTTTTCATGTTTTCATTTGTTGTATCTTCTGGCATATCAAAAGTAATGCTTCTTCACAGAACATATGTCAACCATCCATATTCTCTTCCAAAAAAACAAGCACCGCACTTACCAAATGAACTCGGTAACGCAAACATGGGGAGGAACGAACCATGTCTTGGCCACATATCCAGTTCCGAACGCACGAAATATATATCCCGCCTATCCACCACATCTTCATATCTGAGCATAAACCTGTAAACGCAGATCTTTTAAAGATCAAACGTGAAGACTTCATGCGCCTGGCCTCTGCCTTGTTTCAAACAGTCATGCATTACTTCCATGATTCTGGTGGTTGTGTGAAAGTGGCTGCTTTTGACCACAATGAATGCACAAAAGCTCCAAGGAATCTATGATATGTGACAATCAAGTTCTTCTTTTTGATTCCATGTGCATCGATGGTGGCCCTAACTGTAAAGATTTACAACCAAATTGCAATGCGGTGCATTGTGAACTACTTTTGTCCTTGCAAACTAGTCACTCATTCCTTTCAAAGACTGGAAGCGCAATGCTGATGAGTGGCTTAGATGTTGTTTCACAAATCTTTGCATATACAAACTTTGCAATAAACATGGAGTTCTAGTTTTGATGCATTCGTGCTGGTGTTGGTGGAACCAATTTCGGAGATTTTTCGATCCATGTGTTTGTGTCGATTTTAATGGAATGAGTTGCTACAGATTTTACAGAAACTGAGGTACCTTGGCTCGTTAGTAGATGATTTCGAGTATAAGATCTTCTCGAGTCTTTTCTTATCTTTGTCTCTCCAAATCACAATTCGGAAATGGGATTCCAGTCCTAATCTTCAAAACGCAATTTGAGTTACAAAGTATCCAAGACATAAGCTTAAAACTTCTCAAAAACCTATTTCATACTTGTGTAAACATCATAAAATCATACCGTGTATTTTCCTCATGTCCTGGATCTGGTTTATCGAGGTAAATCAAATCTTGCATAAAGCTATGATATTAGATATCATGCAGTGCCCTCTTGAAAAAGAAATTTCGACTACAACATGGTTGAGTCTTCTGTTTAAAACCCATTCGGGCATTTGACCATGATCTGGGAAAGCGAGAAGACGAGAGATCCATATGCGTTCTCTGCAACAGAGTTTTGTACCTAGAGACGTTGATGACATGCGAAATGACCCGTACATGCTTCTCCCTTGCTGGCAGTCTCATCATACCTCTCAAGAATGCCTAATCACCTTTTGGAATACACACAAGGCTCTGGTTTGCCTACCTACACACATGCGATTATGGATACCGTATGAGCGTAAATAAGCTACCCCGACATTCTACGCATGCTGGTGAGGACCAAACACATGCAACGTGGCCATACGTGTTCTTCCCGCCTTGCCTCTGAACACAACACCCATCATTGTCCTGTACTTGCCATGCACGTGACTCCACAACCAAATCATATATAAACCTGTCCGACATCCCCCAGCCACCTTCTCTCTCATCAATACTCCCACACCGCAGGTATTCTTATTCAAAGAAAACTTCTCAGTCAACGTGTATGTTTTCCCTCGCGCTGAGGTGACCGTGACTAGATTGAGGAAACAGGACGTGTACCGTACCGCATGATTTCGGTGTTTGTTTGAAATCTAAACCTATCCTCGTTCTCACATATGTCTGT